GGCCCTGGGTTCGATTCCTCAGCACCACATAAGCAGAAAAAGCCGGAAGTGGCGCTGTGGCTCAAGTGGTAGAGCACTAGCCATGAGCTAAAGAACTGAGGGACAGCGCCCAGGCCCAGAGTTCAGGCCCCACGACTGACAAAAAAAAAAAAAAAAGGGGTCAGCATTGCATCTCTAGGGAGCTTTTTTTTCTTTTATACAATAAATCTGTGGTTTCTTAAGGCTATGTGATTTGTGATTCCCAAGACTCTTGTGCATTTGTTTGAGATCGTTATTCATTTTCATCCTACTAGGTGTTTATCTTGGAGATTTAATAGAGAATGAAAAGAGAAGGGTGTGGTGGTACCTGCCTGTAATCCCCAATACTTGGAAGGCAGAGAGAGGAAGATTGAGAGTTTGGGGCCAGCTGAGGCCACATAATGAGACCCTGTCTCCAAAAAAGAAAAAACAAAACCCCCAAGAAGGGTTGGAGGCATGGTTCAGGTGGTAGAGCACCAGCCAGTGAGTAAAAGCAAGCAACATCAAGTTCAAGTCCTGGTCTTGGACAAGAAAGGAAGGAAGGAAGGAAGGAAAGAAAGGAAGGAAAGGAAGGAAGGAAGCAACGAAGGAAGGAAGGACCAAAACATTCTAAGCCTCCCCCAAATAGAAAATGGAAATGGGGAAAATAAAGAGGTAATTTTCACTGTGAAGCAAAGTAAAACACAGGAAATTCAACTCCTAAAATTGTAGTGTGAATCAGTATGTGGTAACATTTGCAAAGCAGGTGATTTGGAAAGCCTGGATCGGGGTGCAGATATTTTTACCCTCTCAGGACACTATTTCCTGGGGCTTTGTCCCCAGCTGATGGTGAGCGGTGGATTGCTCCATTCCCACGTTGTCATTGGGGTTGGCGGCGTCCGGCCCCATTGTCCTCCGTGTCCTCGTGTCTCACCAGGCAGAGCCGTTCACAGGAGAGCTCCCTACCCAGCAGACGCTCCCCATCCTCGGCGAGAAGCTACACCAGGTGTCTCACAATGTCCTGGAAAACCTGAGCAATATCATGAGTGGCTACTGCCTGCCAGAGCCGATTTTTAGTGTCAAGGTGAGTCACCCACGAGGAACAGGTATGGCAGGCCATGTGCAGAGGCAGGGTTTGCTCTGTGTTGTCAGAGGGGGGCTCATGGAAACAAGGAAGGAGAGCCCACTGTGGTTTCCAGAAAGCACCTGTTGTTGGGGGGTTCTGTAGGCCACTTATCCACTTCATCGTGTGTTTTCTCTTTGGAGATCAGCTGCCTCACCATGACACCCCAGGCTCCCACTGTCTAGTCCCTCCTAGGCTTGTCTGGTACCCCCACATACTGGCCACCATCATCCACAGCTCGCATTTGCCCCATCACTTCAGTGAACCGTGGCGCATTTATACCTCTCTCCTGCCATTGGGGGTCGTGACCAGGCTCATCCTGATCCTCAAGCCATCACCAGCAGCCCCTGAGACACCCCAGAAGTGGGACAGAGAGGCTCAGGGGCTCGGTGGCTCAGATTTGCATTCGTGGCTTTGCTCTCAATGGGCGGAGTGGCCTTCAGTAACGGAATGGCCCTCTGTGTTGGTTTCAGTGGTGAATGGGCAGGCATCATTGGCCCGATTAGTAGGGTGGTTTCTGAGAATCAGTGAAAATAGAAAGGTCTTTGAAGACAGGCAGTACACACGTGTCCTGTCAGTGTGAGCGGGGCACAGGGTGATCTGCATGCTCCCTGTGTGGGAAAGCGGGGTGCTCTCTTGTGGGGAGATTTTCCCCCCCACTGTGGACTATTCTGGCCTTAGATCCTCAGTCAATTGAGCATTGAAGGCCTGAGGACACTCAGGTTGAATAGTGTCGGGCGCCCGTGGTAGGTGGTGGTCTCCACATTTGTATGGAGCTGCGGCCGATGCTTTGTTTTCCCCCCGCACCCCCTGGCAGCTGAAGGAGTGGGTGCAGAAACTCATGATGACTCTCCGGCACCCATCGCTGCCGTTGCTGGAGCTGCAGGAGATCATGACCAGCGTGGCAGGCCGCATCCCCACCCCCGTGGAAAAGGCGGTCCGCAGGGTCATGGCCCAGTACGCCAGCAACATCACCTCGGTGCTGTGCCAGTTCCCCAGCCAGCAGGTACGTGCCCCGGCCTGCCCCCACCCCACCCCAGGGTTCCCAGTCTTTGTGTCTGACCTCTGAGCCCCAAGTGTTGGGGACTTTCAGTTGAGTCACCTCTACCTGTGCAACAGAGGTGTGTGTGTGTATGTGTGTGTGTGTGTGTGTGCGCGTGTGTGCGTGCTGTGATCAGGCCCCTCAAGTCCATAAAGCTCATATTCAGAGCAGGAGTATGCCATCTCTACACACAGACCAAGCCCCGAAGCCCTACCTTTAGCTAGTGTTTTCTATGAATAAAAGCCATTCCAGGTAATTTAAATAACCTCATATGAATGCTCCTCTGCTTCCTGTTGTGCATTTCCTTCCAGTTTGTGTTCATGTTGCTTTTGTGGAGCATCTTCAAAGTCATTTGGTTTTCAAGTATGTTTTAAAAGGAATTGCATTTGGAGAAGCCCCTCATCTGATTGGAAAGGCTTCCCCACATCCCATTCCCCTTTGTTTTTGAGAAGGTCAGGATTAACCACTCTCTAAAGGATGATTGGGAATTTTCAGGGATTTGTCATTGATGTATTCTTTTCTTTTTTCTTTAGAAGTACTTTTGTGGCCAAAAGCAATGTACCCATGGCATAAAATCTAAATCTAAATACGGCATCTCTCCCCAGCCGGCACTTAGGTTTTTGCTGGGGTCAGACACTCACCTCTCCTCTTTCCCAGCGCCGCCCCTTTCCACTGGGACATGCGGGCCCCACTTTGTGTGATCCTTGTCATTCCCAGTTTTTTAGTTTTTCCAGCAAGACACCGAAGGGCTTGGCGTGGCAGTTCACACCTGTAATCCTAGTTAGAAGGCTGAGGTCTGAGAATCTCCATTTGGAGCCAGCCTCGACAAATATATCCCAAGACTCTCATCTCCAATTAACCAGTAAAAAGCCAGAAGTGGAGCTGTAGCTTAAATGGCAGAATGCCAGACATGAATGAAGAATGCAGAGTGAGAGCACAGGACCCTGAGTTCAAGTCCCAGTACCAGCAAGAAGGAAAAACAAAACAAAAAAGAAGATTTCAAAGGGATAAACAGGGTCATTTTGGGCCCAGATCACTCTGGGCCTGGAAACCTGTGCGGGTGGATGTTCAATTCATGACACCAAGTGACAGCTGGATTGAGTGTGATCATGTGACAGCCGGATCATGTGGTAATCAGTGATCTTGGGACAATTGGGTTGCCTATGATTACTGATCATGCGAGGCTGGCTTGCATGGTGATGGTCATTGGTCAGGGTGGTCTTGTTTTCCCCTCCAGATAGCCACCATCTTGGACTGTCACGCGGCCACCCTGCAGCGCAAGGCTGACCGAGAGGCCTTTTTCATGAACACACAGAGCATCGTGCAGTTGGTCCAGAGGTGAATCCTGGGTCCTCCCCAGCGGTGTGGTTGTCCCATTCAACTCATCACACGGATCAAGCGTGGCTCTGGGGACTCCCTTCGGGGCAGGCTCACACCAACAACTAGGACATGGCAGATCTGGTACTGTGAATGCTGAAGCAGAGTCCTGGACGTGACTTCTTTTGAGTCTCTGTTGGCTAATCGGTGAAACAAGAATTACAACACTTTGTAAGGCTGGGCACAGTGGCTCATGCCTGTAATCGCAGATCCTGAGGAGGTAGAAATCAGAAGGCTCATGTGTGTGTGTTAGGTCTTGCTGTCTTCTGTTCTCTTTTAGTGATGCTGACGTTAGGTCGCTATTCCATCCCCTGAGAATCTTTTTTTTTTTTTTTTTTTGGGTCCGGTCATGGGCCTGAACTCTGGGCCTGGGCGCTGTCCCTCAGCTCTTCAGCTCTCTACCACTTGAGCCACAACGCCATTTCCGGCTTTTTTTTTCCTGCTTATGTGGTGCTGAGGAATCGAACCCAGGCCCTCAGGCATGCAAGGCAAGCACTCTACCACTGAGCCACCTTCCCAGCTCCTCCCCTGAGAATCTTGATATCCTGTGTTCAGGAATACTTTAGAAAGGAAATATTTTGAGGTCCATCCTATGTTGAAGTTTTGTTTCCAAAAGGAAGTGAAATGTATTTAGAGGTCTTTTGGCAAATGTCCTCCAAGTTTATCTCTGAGGGACATCTTTAATATGTTGCATAGGGCACTGGCAAATTTTGCTTTTGTGATTAAAACCTGCAGAAACTGGCTCCTCCCTTTTAGCATTCCAGCTCAAGCGTTTACCTTCTGTCTGGGGCCTGGCAGGTGCAGTTCTGTGTCCCAGCGCTGCTGAGCCTCAGAGTCGACTGGCGGATCACAGCTCCCTCTGCCCTGCAGAGCCAGCCTCAGGAGCTCACGCCACATCTTACAGGCCTCAGGATTCAAGGAGGCTTTCTCCTTTTAAAAACCATCAAAGCAGGGGCTGGGAAGGTGGCTCAGTGGTAGAGTGCTTGCCTTGCATGCATGAGGCCCTGGGTTCGATTCCTCAGCACCATATAAGCAGAAAAAGCCGGAAGTGGTACTGTGGCTCAAGTGTTAGAGCACTAGCCTTGAGCTGAAGAGCTGAGGGAGGGCACCCAGGCCCAGAGTTCAGGCCCCATGACCGACAAACAACAACAACAAAAATCAAAGCGGCTAGGTACCAGTGGCTCATGTTTATAATGCTCATTACTTAGGAGGCTGACATCTGAGGATCCAAGTTCAAAGCCAACATGGGCAGGAGCATCTGTGAGATTCTTCTCTCCAATTCATCACCAAAAGGCCAGAAGTGAAGATGTGGCCTAAGTGGTAGAATGGCCAGCTTTGAGCTAAAAAGTTAAGGGACATCTGGTTGCCGATGGTTCACACCTGTAATTCTAGCTACTGAGGAGGCTGAGAGCTGAGGTTTGAGGTAAAGCCAGCCCGGCAGGAAAGTCTGCAAGACTGTTATCTCCAGTTAACCACAAAAAGCTGAAAGTGGAGCTGTGACTCAAGTAGTAGAGCATTAGCCTTGCACACAAAACTCAGGACAAGGTCCAGGCCCAGAGATCAAGCCCCAGGACTGGCATATACATGAGTGTACATGCGCAGACCCACACCTAAAAGGGTAGACAGAGTAACCATCAAAGCAGGATGCTGGATGGTTCCAGAAAGCAGAGGTGCAGGGAATAGTAACAGGGCCGTGTCTGTCCTCCAGGTACCGCAGTGGGACCCGGGGCTACATGAAGACGGTGGTACTGGACCTCCTGCGGAGATACTTGAATGTCGAGCACTATTTCCAACAAGGCAGGAGACACAGGCCCGCCGCCTGCCAGTATATCCCTCATGATAAGCCAGGGTCAGGGGGAGTGGGGAGGAGCCCAGACCTCACCCCGGCACCATCTTCTGTCTCCCCCCACCCCCTGCAGCGCACTATGACAAGTGTGTGATCAGCCTCCGGGAGCAGTTCAAGCCAGACATGACCCAGGTGCTGAACTGCATCTTTTCACATGCCCAGGTGGCCAAGAAGAACCAGCTGGTGATCATGCTGATCGTAAGCAGGAAGGGGTGGGGAGGGCTGGGAGCGGGGTGAGTGCCCAGATGTTTCTGTGAATGGGCCAGAATGGAAATAACTTTGCAGGGGAGGAGCTGCATACTCCATGGTCTCTCTCACAGAGAGGGAGAAAGACAGACAGACAGACAGGGAGGGAGAGAGAGAGACAGACAGATGTGTGTGCACATGTGCACAGGTATACTTACTAAAACTAAACCCAGTGTGCCCCAGGTTTACCAGTTAGTAAATCGAGGTGGCCAGCATAGAGGTGATCAGTGAAGTGCTGGTCCCAAGCATTTCAGATCAGGGACCCTGAGGCTAGGACTGACCAGATTTGGGGGCATGTTTTGTAGCAGATGACTGAGTGAATGAATGAATGACCGAATGGATGTACCGTGGTGGAAAGACAGATATGCGTGCCTTGGGCTGAGCCCTGTCTGTCTAGATAGCTGAGATGGGACCCTCTCCCCCCATCCCTTCTTTCAGGATGAGCTGTGTGGTCCAGACCCCACGCTGTCGGATGAGCTGACCTCCATCCTCAACGAGCTCACTCAGCTGAGCAAGAGCGAGCACTGCAAAGTGGCCCTGCGAGCTAGACAGGTTGGTGTCCAAGGGCAGCGCGCCTCCCCCCCCCCAGGACCCTCCTGTCCCCCAGAGTCTCACACACCAGCCCTGCTCCCCCCACCCCTTCCCCGCAGGTCCTCATCGCCTCCCACCTGCCCTCGTACGAGCTGAGGCACAACCAGGTGGAGTCCATCTTCCTGTCGGCCATCGACATGTACGGCCACCAGTTCTGCCCAGAAAACCTCAAGGTGAGCCTTTCCCTCTCCAGCATCTGCACTCTCGGGGACCAAGACTCCCCATCCTGGGGCTGGTTCAGGGTCAGAGGGACAGGTTCTGTCGTGGGGGGGCACTGGCAGGCTTTGGGGGAGGGCCACTTAGAACCCAGATTTGAAAGGATGGCAGGCATGGGCTCTCCTGGCGGGCTCTGTGTTCCAATTCAGATGTGATGGAGCTTTTCTCTGGAAGCTGCAGGTTGTCCTGTCATGAGTTCTGAGTTCGTCTTCCCAGGGTTTTCCCGCCATGGCTCTGGCTCATTTAGAAGTTTCTAGAAACTCCCTTAGCATCTTGTACCTCAGGGAATCCTGGGTGCTGGTGAGTGGGGAGGGTGGGGAGGGCACCTGACCTCCATCCATGATGGCAACAGGGCCTACTCACCCCTGTCCCTGCCCCTCTCCGCCCCTGGCTGGTGGTTAGAACTTCTTTACTTTTCCTTGGTTCTATTTCCCCTAGAAACTAATCCTTTCGGAGACAACCATCTTTGACGTGCTGCCCACATTCTTCTACCACACTAACAAAGTTGTCTGCATGGCATCACTAGAGGTAAGGGGCTGCCCGGCCCTGGTCTGTGCCCCCTTGCAAGCAGGGTCTTATTCTCTCTTCAGAGGAAGCAATGGTTAAGACCACACTGCTAGGAAGGGGCTAGTGGTAGAGTGGTAGCCTTAAGCAAGAGAAAGCTTAGGGATAGCACCTAGACCCTCAGTTCAAGCCCCGGGACTAGCTACCCCCCTCCTCCCCCAGCCCCGCCACATGAACACACATTATATCTCAGTAGCTTGTGTTATACTTCTGTGGGCCACAGCTGCTCCTAGCAAGAGTCGACTAACTGTAGCTCATAGGCCTCTGGCCCACTGCTTGTTTTTATGAATAAAGTTTTATTGGAACTTAGCCATGCACATTCATTTGCCTACTTTCACGGCTGCTTCCATGCTACAACTGCAAAACCAAACAGCTGCAGCAGATCCTAGGCAGCCTAAAATAATTGCTAAATGAATCATTGCTACAAGGGGGAAAACCAAGTGGAATGTTCTTAACGGCTATGTAGCGATCCTTTAGGAGTCATTTCCTCTGGCTGGGCTTTTCTTGGCTTTGGGGGAAATCTCGGATGTCCTTGGAGGCCCACTGTGCTTCGGCCCCGTCAGGTTTACGTCCGGAGAGGGTACATCGCCTATGAGTTGAACAGCTTGCAGCACCGTGAGCTCCCAGACGGCACCTGTGTGGTAGAGTTCCAGTTCATGCTGCCTTCTTCCCACCCGAACCGGTATGGAGAGTGGGCGCGCTGGTCTCCCCGCTTCCTGTGGCCCGATTTCTGGAAGGACTAGCCCCTCTTGGTGTCACTCAGTTTCACATTCCTGCCTGTAGAGAGAACCTGGTGCCCACCTCAAAAATAACCAATGGAATCAAAGGGTCTGGAGAGGTGGCTCGAATGCTAGAGCACCTGCTTAGCATCGGCCCCGAGTTCCAGCCTCAGTACTACACAAAGAACAAACAAAGGGCGAGCTATAAGGGGCCAAAGTCAGGCTGAATTCAGCCGCAAGGAACGGCAATGTGTGATCTCTGGGTGGAGCTGTGTGGGTACAGGGACCTGGGCCATGGTTTTGGGGGCAATTCCAATCTCACAGGCGCACACACACAGCTGGGTCCAGGGGTCCCCATAAACACCCCCTAGGTTTGCTGGCCTGCTAGGAAGACTCCCGACTCTGGCTTGTAAAGCAGAATCAGCCATGGCGATGGTGAAGTTTAGGGTCCAGGCGCCATCTTCCAGGCTGCCTCAGCGCTGTCCCCTGACACCCTGGCCCCTGAGCCATTGGGGCGAGGAGGGGTGATGTGTGTGAAGGGTTGTGGATGCTTAGAGATTAGGAGGCTGGGCCGGCTCTTGAATGCTGCTCACAGAAGCACAGAGATCCCAGACTCCCAGGAGAGAAAAGATGCTCAGCCTGCTCAGATCAGGCCCAGCTAGACACCCACGCCATTTAGGGAAGGTCAGGAGGGCACCTTCCGCAGTCCAAGCTTCCAGGCACCAGCTAAAGGCCAGCCTTGCTAAGCAGGGGAGGAGGGGGAGCACCCCCTGAGCACCCCCAGGACCAAGCCTGTCCCTCAGAGGCTGCCTAGGGTGAGCGCTGAGCAGGAGAAATGAATGCTGGGAGTTTTTGCTTTTCTGCCTGCCACCTTCCCCAGTGTGGATCTGCCTGGGACTGTGTTGGAACAGGGCTTATGTGCATGCGCACATCACTCATCCATTCACTCACTCACTCACTCATTCATTCACTGGCCTCCCACTGTCTGCCAGATCCTGAGGAAATGGATGAGAACCCTCAGCCCCCTGGTCCCAACCTCAGCCTCCTCCCACCGTCCTGGTTTTAAGGGCTCCCATCTTGGGCAGGTGCTAATCCCGGCTTGGCTCCCTGAAGTACAGCTGCCATGGCGGAGTGAGCAAGCTGCTGCCTCAGTGTCCCCTCCTTGTCCCCCCCCCTCCCGCAGGATGGTCATGCCCATCAGCGTCACCAACCCAGATCTCCTGAGGCACAGCACCGAGCTCTTCATGGACAGCGGCTTCTCCCCGCTCTCACAGCGCATGGGAGCCATGGTCGCCTTCAAGAGGTTCGAGGATTTCATCAGGTACCGGTTTCCCAGATAACCCCAAGCTGGTGGGGGTGGGGCTGGGGGGCTCACCTTGGCCCCCACCAGTTTATTGGCACATGGCACTGTGAGTAAAAACACACTCATAGGAGGAGGGATGGGGAGATGTTGGCCAGAAGGCCTGGTATGGTTGTATACGTCTGGTACACTGCACACAGCCGGGCGTGGTGGCTCACCCTTGTAATCCCAGCTACTCAGGAGGCAAAGAGCTGAGGGTTGAGGTTCAAAGCCAGCTCAGGCAGGAAAGCCTGTGGGACTCATTATCTCTAACCAGAAAACAGTTGGAAGTAGAGGCTTCGGTCCCGTGGTAGAGTGCCAGCCATGAGTGAAAAAGCCAAGAGAGAGGCCCTGAGGTCAAGCCTCTGCCAGTGCAACGCACTCTTGGTTTTCTTGTGTGTAAACGGGGATAGTAGGAGCCTCTTCACAAGAGGGCCGTGCGAGTTAAGTGTGGAGCACTTTCAATGTGGTACATGTGTGTCCACATACACGCACATCGTACGTAAGTCGCGTGCTGGTTACACACCCGCTCTCAGGACTGTTGACTTTGTGACCTTTTTCATCCTGTTACTGGGGAGCTCTCTGGGCTCGGATCATTCACACAGCCTGTGGCTCAGGTGAGGGGCTGTCTCTGGGGTCTCCCAGCCAGTGAGTGGCCCTTGGGCTATTGCTGATGGCCCAGTGTGTGGGACTCTTCCCCTTGATTCCTGATCGCAGGCCACACAGGCTCAGCCTGATCCTCTGGGCAGTGGAGCTAGCAGGGGCTGTGTGCGTGCTGCAGGGGTGTGTTGAGATCAGAGTATTGACAAGGAGAGAGAGAGGGCCAGGGTGCCCACGCTCTTGGCCTGAAAGTTGGACCCGTGTCCTTCTTCCTTCTCTGCCCGGCATCCCAGGAACTTTGACGAGGTCATTTCCTGCTTTGCCAACCTCCCCGCAGACATGCCCCTGTTCAGCAAGGCCCGCACCTCCCTGTACTCAGAGGAGGACAGCAAGGTGAGCGAGAGCCCCAGGGAGGGGCCCTTGGGAGGGGCTGGGCTGCAGCCCTCTCCCCTTTCTACCTCCAGAACCTTCTACCTGCAGAACCTTCGGGAAGAGCCCATCCATATCCTGAATGTGGCCATCCAGTGTGCTGACCACCTGGAGGATGAAGCCCTGGTGCCGATTTTTCGGACTTTTGTACAGTCCAAGGTACGCCTGTGCCTCTGCTGTTGGCGGGATGGCTGTCCCCGGCTAGTTTGTCTTTCTATAACAAGCCACCTGAGGCTGGGTGCTTTTAGAATGTGAAAAGGTTTATTTAGGTCACAGTTCTCGAGGCTGCCTGAGGCAAATACATCTGTCTGGTAGGTACTTAGCTCCAGCTGTGATCTACATCAGGACAGATGGCATTGCATAGCAGGAGTACAAGGCCCAACCCATGCCCCATCTCATCAAAAGGCTGCGCATCGTGGCTCACATCTGCAGTCCCTGCTATGTGGGAGACATATAAGTAGGATTATGATCAAGGCTGGTCCAGGCTAAAATATAAGACTCTTATCTGAAAAATAACTCAAACAGAAAAGGCTAGAGGTTTGCCTCCAGTGGTAGAGTGCTTGTCTAACAAGTGCATGGCTCTGAGTTCAAAATGCCAGTACACACACACACACACACACACACACACACACACACACAACCTCAAGAATGCTGACAGATAGGCAGGTATGATTTCATTACCTGTGTGACCTGGACAGGTTGCTTTCCTTCTCTGATCCTTAATTTCTCCATGTGTAGAATGGGATAGGGAGGTTCCTGGGTCATAAAGTCAGGCATTGTGAAGGTGGGGTTTACCCTCTTAATTTGTCTTCACCTCAAGACCACTTGGGAATAGTTGGGGGTCTTTTGGACGCTACTCATGGTCTTTTTTTTTTTGTCACGGGGCTTGAACTCAGGGCCTGGGCACAGTTCCTGAGCTTTTTTGCTCAAGGCTATAGTGGTTTGGGGGAGCTTTTTGGTGATCGCTTGTAGATAAGAGTCTCAAGAAGGGTGCTGGTCCATACCTAATCTCAGCCTCCTGAGTAGCCAGGATCTGAGGATCATGGTTCAAAGCCAGCCTGGTCAGGAAAGTCTGAGAGACTCTTATCTGCAAGTAACTCTCCAAAAGCTGGAAGTGGTGCTGTGGCTCAAAGTGGTAGTGCACTAGCCTTGAGCATAAGAGTTCAGGGATAGCGCCCCCAGGTCCTGAGTTCAGGCCCCTCAACCAACTGGAAATGGATGGTACTGACTCCGTCCCAAATCTGGCTGTGTCCTGCCTTATAACGATGTAGATTCATTTGTTCTTTAATTTGATGTAAATGGACTCAGTCGGTTTCATGTTTTTACATTCTTGTCTCCCCCCCAACTTTATTGAAGTATAATTGACTGATACAAAAACAACTGTGTACATTTACAGTGCGCATGATTTTGTGCATATGCGTAGAGCACAAAGTCCAACTTAGACTGTCTTCACTGCTCCACTGAAAATCTCCATAGTCATTAACATTGTTCCCCCATACCCACCACAGCCCTCTCCAAACCCATGCCGGCCTTAGGCAACCACTAATCTACTTCCTATCTCTGTTCACTGGCCTATTTGGGCTATTTTGTAGACATGGAATCACATTGAGGTCTTTTGTGACTGACTTGTGCATAGCAAGTTTGCCAGCCTCACTCACCGGATAACATGTACGCAGTGGTGGGTCCTTTTTAAGGCTCATAATATTCCATTGTGTCTTTTTAAAATGCAGAAACATATCCTGGTGGACTATGGTCTCCGAAGAATCACATTCCTGATTGCCCAAGAGGTCAGTCAGTCCTTGTGAGTCCAGGTGGAATCAAAGCCTCGGGGCGGTGCCGCTGGTCCTTATTCTGTAGGGTAGGGGGGTAGAGATGAATGGGAAGGAAAGAATGCTTTCCAAATGCTTTGTTCCACAAGCAGACTGAGGCCTTATGAACAGTCACAGAGGAGAAGAGGAAAACAGTTCACTGACTCTTCACTTGAGTTCATTTGTCTTTTGTATGGGTTTCTTTTACAGAAAGAATTTCCCAAGTTTTTCACCTTCAGAGCCAGAGATGAGGTATGATGTAGAGCCATGATCCTGTTTTCTTCCTGGCATGTGAGCTTCTCGTGAGGAATCTGTCCTCCATCCTAAAGGCAGCCGAGAATAGAACTCTGCATCTCCTATGAGACCCCCCATGATTTCCCACCTCGAACCACAGCCTCAGGTTCCACCTTTTCACACTGGTCTCTTGCTTGGATTAGTTTTTCACTTGCAGGTTTATTGAGTAAGATAGTCTGCTCCTCTTTCCTCCCTTCCTCCGGCCCCTCCTTCTTTTCTGTGTCAGGCCTAGGGCTTGAACTCAAGGCCTGGCCACTATCTCTTTGCTTTTGTTACTCAAGGCTAACACTGTACCACCTGAGCCACAGCTCTATTTCTGGCTTTTTGGTGGTTCATTGGAGATGAGCGTCTCATGGACTTTCCTGCCTGGGCTGGCTTTGACGTTGGATCCTCAGATCTCAGCTTCCTGAGTGGCTAGGATTTATAGACATGAGCCACTGGTACCTGGCTAGTTTCTTTTTTATTTTTTCTTATATTCTGTTAGACCAGTGGTCAGCAAACTGGGCCTTGCAGATCGGCTGTCTGTTTTACAAATAATGTTTTATGGAAACACAGACACACCTACGTTATTACATCTTGTCTGCTGTGGCTTTCACTCTAACACATTTAGTATGTGGCTTTGTAAGGGAAAGCTCACTGGTCTCTATTCTAGAACATACAGGCTCATTTCCAACAGAGAATCAAGACTCCGCCAAGTTCAAGGTTTTATATTTTAACTGATACAAAACTTGACTTTCCCAGCTGAGCCCCAGACCTCTTGAGCCTTGGTTATTGCTCAACGAATCCTGGCTTCTGAGTGCCCGAGGGGCCTGGACCATGGCCTACAGTTACTCTGTGTGTGTGTGTGTGTGTGTGTGTGTGTCTCCCTCCATCCATCCTCTCATGGGCTGGCCTGTTCTACAGTTTGCAGAAGACCGGATATACCGTCACTTGGAGCCAGCCCTGGCCTTCCAGCTGGAGCTCAGCCGCATGCGCAACTTCGATCTGACCGCTGTGCCCTGTGCCAACCACAAGATGCATCTTTACCTGGGCGCTGCCAAGGTGAAGGAAGGAACAGAAGTGACAGACCACAGGTTCTTCGTCCGGGCCATTGTCAGGCACTCAGATCTGATCACCAAGGTAAAATGTCACAGGGTGTTTCTAGCTCCCTTCCTCTGCATGCAAAACCTCCTGCCTTGGTCCTCCTTCTTTGAGTTCCTGCTCTGGACTTGGGCCCTGGGCTGCCAGCCTAGAGATCAGAGGGTACACTGGACACACACAGCCCCACCTGGATGATGCTCCAGCCTGACATTGCTTCCCGGCTGCTGGCCCTTGAATCTACTTGTTGTCTCCTGTGTCTCTGAGATAGGAGAGAAGGGAGCGTGTAGAAAGAAGTCTGTGTGTTCAGGGAATTTCTTGTTAACCGACTGAATGAGTGATTATTTTATGTTGTGTCTTGGTTTTAGAAAAGTCATCCGTGATTACATTGTGAAAATTCCAAACATTATTGAACACTGTTTTAAAAGGTTGCTATCAATGCATATAAGTTGTATAAGAGCAAGGTTCATTGTGACTTTGCCATGTATGCATACAGTGTACCCCTTCAACCTCACCCCCTCCACCTTCCTTCCCTCCTCCTTAAAAGTGTTTTGTTTCGGCTGCACCCCAGCCTAGGGTGGTCGAAGCTTGAAAGAGTTGCCAGGACCTGAGTTCAAGCCCTGTCCTTGGCAAAAAAGAAAAAAAAAAGGTTTTTTTTTGTTTGTTTTTTGTTTTTGTCAGTTGTGGGGCTTGAACTCTGGGCCTGGGCACTGTCCCTCAGCTCTTCAGCTCAAGGGTAGTGCTCTACCACTTGAGCCACAGCGCCACTTCTGGTTCCCTGGTGGTTAACTGGAGATAAGAATCTCACAGATTTTTCCTGCCCAAGCTGGCTTTGAACTGTGATCCTCAGATCTCAGCCTCTTGAGTAGCTAGGATTACAGGTGTGAGCCACCAGTGCCCAGCTTAAAAGTGTTTTTTGTTTTTGTTTAAAGTGAAAGAAGCCAAGTATCAGTGGCTCATGCCTCTATAACTTACTCAGGAGGCTGAGCTCTGAGGATTATGATTCTAAGCCAGCCTAGGCAGAAAAGTCCTTGAGACTCTTATCTCCAGTTAACCACCCAAAAGCCAGAAGTGGAGGCATGGCTCAAGTGGTAGAATGCCAACCTAGAACAAAAACACCAAGTGAGAACATGAGACTCTGAGTTCAAACCCCGTTACCAACACACACACACACACACAGACACACACACACACACACACACAGACAGACACACACACACACACACAGAGTAAAAGGATCAGAATTGGGCTACAGAGGGACCAACTCTTTCTAGAAAAATATCATCCCTGGAGCTGGAGGTACAGTGTGGCTGACAGGAGGTAGGGTACTTTGATTATATTAAATGATACACATGATTATTTTTTATCTATATTAGATATGTTATATATTTGAGTGATATATATATATATATATATATATATATTAAACTGGTTAGTGACTTAATAGGTGTTTTTCCATGTTAATGCAGCTTGATCAATGTGCATGGTATTTCATTTGGATATGTTAAGCCAAACAGATCAGGTAGCCATTGAAAAGCTGGCTTGTCACAGTTCCAGGAAACGGACTGGGCACGTGATGGGGTGAGAGGCATATAGGGAATGTCCAAGATTGGTCAGGTGGCAGAAGAAGTGCGAGGAACTGGGCTGAGCCTTCACTGTGGTTCTTTTTTTTTTTTTTTGTCGGTCGTGGGGCTTGAACTCTGGGCCTGGGCACTGTCCCTCAGCTCTTCAGCTCAAGATGAGCGCTCTACCACTTGAGCTACAGCGCCACTTCCGGTTTTCTGGTGGTTTATTGGAGATAGGAGTCTCACGGTCTGGCTGCCCGGGCTGGCTTTGAACCGCGATCCTCAGATCTCAGCCTCCTGAGTAGCTAGGATGACAGGCGTGAGCCACCAGCGCCCGGCTTTCACTGTGGTTCTGAAGGAAGAGGCGAGGCCGGGTGCACAGGAGGCCGATCTGCTCATTTGCATCATTTCAGCTGCCCTGGACACCCGTTGTCCTAGCTGATGGGGCAGGAGCACGGAGGCCTGGGGAGTAAGGGAGTGAGGAGAGGGGCTGAGGTATGGGATCTGGGTTGGCCTGAAGTGAGCAGGGCCCTCCAGGGGCGCTGTCTGCCATCTCTGGGGCATGGCGGTCCCTGTGGGGTGGATGTCTACAGATGTCACAGCAACAGCACACAGGACACAGGGCAGCCTGGGCACCTCCAGGCTGTGGATCGCTGGGCACTGGAGGAAGGGAACCCCCCCTCACCCAGGCTGTGCTTCGGACCAGCCACGAGCCTCCCAGGCCCTGGCCTCAGATTGGCTTCCTCCTCTGACAGGAGGCCTCCTTCGAGTACCTGCAGAACGAGGGCGAGCGGCTGCTCCTGGAGGCCATGGACGAGCTGGAGGTGGCCTTCAACAACACCAGCGTGCGCACCGACTGCAACCACATCTTCCTCAACTTCGTGCCCACCGTCATCATGGACCCCTTCAAGGTGACACCTTTCGGGGGACCCTTCCCCCCCCTTCGGGGTTCACCTCCATCTAAGTTTTCAGTGTGTGGCTAAGAGGGTGTGGTCGGCGTTGGGCGTGGCCTCACGCAGGGGTGTGGCCCCGCAGGAGGGGGCCCAGCAGCCGCAGGAAGACCTGGGCACGGGCTGTTGCATCCTGGAGCCAGATTTCCGTAGGGCCCTGCTTGGCTTCGCCGCGGGGCCTGGAGACTGAGTGTGCCCTCGCGCGTGGGTTCCAGTGTGGGGTGGGGAGGGAGGTCTGCACATGCGAGCAAGGAGTCCCAGTCTGAGGCCAGGCGGGTCCCGAGCTGTGAGCAGGCGGTGGGCGGGGCACGATCGGGTGTGATCGGGTGTGATCAGGTGTGATCGGGTGTGATGGGGTGTGATCGGGTGTGATGGGGTGTGATCGGGTGTGATCAGGTGTGATCAGGTGTGATCGGGTGTGATGGGGTGTGATCGGGTGTGATCAGGTGTGATCTGGTGTGATCTGGTGTGATTGGGTGTGATTGGGTGTGATGGGTGCGATCAGGTGTGATTGGGTGTGATCTGGTGTGATCAGGTGTGATCAGGTGTGATCTGGTGTGATTGGGTGTGATTGGGTGTGATCTGGTGTGATCTGGTGTGTCTGGGGGGGGACCCCGCCGTGGACCCGGTGTGCTCGGTGCAGATCGAGGAGTCCGTGCGCTCCATGGTGATGCGCTATGGCAGCCGGCTGTGGAAGCTGCGCGTGCTGCAGGCCGAGGTGAAGATCAACATCCACCAGACCGCCGCCGGCAGCGCCGTGCCCGTCCGCCTGTTCATCACCAACGAGTCGGGCTACTACCTGGACATCAGCCTCTACAAGGAAGTGACCGACCCCAGATCTGGAAGCGTGAGGCTGGGCCCGGCCGCGGGGGTGGGGTGGGGTCTCCATCCAAGCCGGGGTGGCCTCAGTGGCCCTCCAGCCTCGCCGGGGCGCGGAGCTCAGCCTCGCCCGGGCGCGGAGCTCAGGGGCAGGTCACCCAGGCCGGAGGAGACCCCGCGTGAATCCTGAGGTTGGATCTGACCCCCGTTTGCAAA